GATAATGTATTCTTTTGAATTTTGTACTGGAGAACGAGGCCAGTAGGGCTAATTTAAATTTCAACAAAAGAATATTAATCCGGCAGCCATTTATGAAAGTGGTCTATTGGGAGTAGAGTAGAGCTGCTAGAGGGTTGAGTCATGATGTATTTGAGTCTTTGTAAAAATGGGATGGGGGATGATCCTGTGCAGAGCTTGGAGCTGGACATTTTTGTACAGATTCCATTATTTCAACCATGTTACTTGAATGGCTCTTACTCCCTGTCACTTTAACATAGCTTTTGCTTATTTGTCAGAAATGAAATTTTTCTTGCTTTATTTTCATGTTTTGTTTTCATGTTTTTATTTTCATGTAGGGATGTAAAACCAGACAACATGCTTCTGGATAAACAAGGTCACCTTAAGCTTGCAGATTTTGGAACATGTATGAGAATGGATAAGGTACAAGTGACTGATGCTTCATCTTGACCTGCTCTGTATTGTAAGGGAACAACCAGCTTCAGAAATACAGGCCTATAGCTGAGCCTGTGAGCTTGCTCTATCGGCAAATGGCTAGGTTCTTTGAAATCCTTTTTTTAGCATGCAATTGACAGATTTTACTCTTCCAAAGTTACAGAATATCAAGAGTCAATCTTAAAGATCTTTACAGAACTGAGTTGTTAAATTTGTGTATTCTCTTATCCCTTTAACTCTTATGATCAGGGCCCAGTTGTTCGAAGGCGGATTACCATTAACCCAGTGTTAAATTTTAATCCAGGTTTCTTTATTCCTCTGTTCAAAAGCTTTTTTGGGAAAATTTTCTCTATTCTTTTAGAAAATACAATCATTTAATTGTAGACAAATTAATTTAAATCGAATTTTTCCTTTAACGCTTTCAGATATGAAATCAAATTTTTCACTAACCCTGGGTTACCTTAGCCCAGCTTTGAACAACCCGGCCCTGAAAGTTAATTCTCCCCTCCAGCTGCTACACATTTCTTTGTAAATTAATATATTAATTTGGATATATCAACAAAGTTGAAGTGGTAAATTGGCCACTGTTACGATTACAAAAGCTGACGTTTCGAGCGTTAGCCATTCGTTGGAGCGAATAGAGGAATTGTGGGTTGTGTGTGCTTTTAAGGGCAGAGAATGGAGCTACGTTATCTCTTTGTAAATTAGTTATGAGAATTTGGTGTTAGATTGGGATTTAACAACTTTTACCTGATGAGTTTGAGTATTCTCATTACCTATTTGCTGGAAATTATGGAAATTATCAGGATAAGTTTCATTTTAATCACTTCAGTGTGTTAAAGGGTTAACCCAATCCAATTTTATTCAGTTAGATTTAAAATTCCAATAGGGATTAACTCTAAGATTTGATTCTGCTATCTCTCTTAAACAACCACTAAGCAGGTTAGCTGGCCAAAAGAAGAAGTGGGAGACAACTTTTTGTGACAGCAGGCTACCTTAGACAACACTGCTGGCTCCTGCACTCATATTGACAGTTTCTTAAGACCCTTTGTAAACTTTGAAAAATTGTCTTCTAGGATGGTATGGTTAGATCAGACACAGCTGTTGGTACACCAGATTATATCTCTCCAGAGGTAAGAAAAATTGCAAACAAGATAGCAGATTTTACAGCTCTGTTGAACTCTAAAACTGGTGTCTATCGTTACTTTAGGTTCTCAAATCCCAAGGTGGTGAAGGTTACTATGGCCGTGAGTGTGACTGGTGGAGTGTAGGGGTGTTCTTATACGAGTTACTAATTGGTAAGTTTTGTATACTTTAGATATTTTCATGTGTAAAGAATTCAAGTGCTTATGCCCTCTTAACAGCACTGCTTTACAGCAAAGGTCTCACTTTTTGTAAAATCTTGTAAAAACTTCATTGGGAGATGATGGAACAAGAATATTACATTAGTTGTGGACACTTCTAACAGTTTTCAGTTTTTCTGTTATAGTAGTTCTTTGATCATTCTTTCTTCGTGTTGAAATTTTAGGTGACACTCCGTTTTATGCTGACTCACTAGTAGGAACCTATGGTGAGCAAATTTTGTTGTTTAGTTGTTGCCAATTCCAACCCTGCAAATGAGGGTTTGGTCCCATAGATGCAGGCTCCTTATTCAGTTTTCCTAAACCAGAGGAACTAGAACATTTCACTTGTCCTTGCCATACTTGTCATAAGGAAAATAATGCATTCCTGGATTTCTAAACTTTTTTGTGGTTTGGAATGGTCTTACATCACTGACTAAAACTTCCATCCTCTGCTTGTTGGAAGAAACATAGAAAAGAAACTTTCGACCATCCAAGAATCAAACTTGTCACATCAAGGTCATTTCAGTGAAAATGAAAATCCCTACCATATTTACTTGTAAAAGCACTTTTAAAGTTTTAGATTAGTCAGTGTAGCACTTGTTAGGGGGGAAAAGCTTACTTGTAGCTAGTACTACATTAAAATGTTCATTTGCAACAAACTAAGTTGACCATGTTATAGTTCTTTTTCATTTTTTCTTTTACTGGTAAAGGATATCAACAATCAAATAATATATGAATACTAAGGCCAGTTTTTTCTTTTTTCGATGTGTTTGGAGGTTGATAATAGTGAAATAGGGTACTGCTGCTGTAATTCCAAGTAATTTCTTTTTAACTAGGTTTGCTTTCAGAACTATTTTTATACATTTCTTTAGGAAAGATTATGGATCACAAGAACTCACTTCAGTTTCCTGATGACATTGAGATTTCAAAAGATGCCAAGAGTTTAATTTGTAGTTTTCTTACTGACAGGTAATCAGTTTGCATAAGTTTCTGGAGAGCATCCATTCCCTTGAGACCTAGGCGATTCCTCTTTGCAAGCATCTCTTAGCAATTGATAATTGAAAGAAAAAGAAACTTCAAACCGCTGTTCACCAGAATTTCACAAATTACATCTGACTGATCTCACGATTCTATAGCAGCTGTTTTCCTTAAAGGAATTGCACTGCCAGTAAGTTTGATTTGAAAGTTGTGTGAAGAGAAAATGATGGTAAATCAATGTGTGGATTATTTGTAGAACCCAAAGAATTGGTCAGAAAGGAATAGCAGAAATACAAAAGCATAAATTTTTTGTCAACGACCAGTGGGAATGGGACACCATCAGAGAGGGTAATTATTGTAAATTAGTTTTAATTGATATTTGATCAATAATTAATATTTTAATCAATGTTTCACACTTTCACACTTTTATTTTCTGTTTTCTTACACTTTTTTGTTGTTTGTTTTCTCTCACTTTCTTGTTATTGCTACAAAGAATCTAATGACCTCCCTCTTCATTAGTTACGCTAATGGTCTCTAACTTCAAATTTCCATCAACCTCCCTCTTCCCCCAACCTGTAAAAAAAAAAAAAACTCACAACTTGTAGTTTCAATGTCATCTGTTAGTGTTGCAAACACAAACTGATGACATTGCATACATTGTGGGCCCCCTGTTAAGCTGTTGAACAGTTCTGTTTGACATGCATTACCAACTTTTAAAATTGTCATCGACACTAAATTCAGTCCAGCCTTGAATTTTGGTCCATTTGGTGGTCGCAAGTCCTTTTGAGTCAATATTTTTTTAACAAATAGATTCTTTGTTGCCATGTTTGTTTTCAGTTATAAATAGCAGATGACATCAATATATCTTTTGTGACCTATTACCTGTAGAGCTCCACATCTATGGCGTGTAATTCCCTTCAAAATTAATCTTTAAATTCCATTGTCATTTCATTTGCGAACTTCAAATTGTTGTCCACAAATTCGGTTTTGTGCTCCAAATTGTGACGTGCAAATTCGGTGTTAATCTTTAAATTCCATTTTCATTTCATATGCGAACTTCAAATTGTTGTCCACAAATTCGGTTTTGTGCCCTAAATTGTGACGTACAAATTCGGTGCTCAATTCCAATTCTGTTATCAAATTCTGAACGCTTGTCTTTTGTCATTTACCTTGCAAACTTCAAATTGTTGTCTACAAATTCGGTTTTGTGCACTCAACTGTGACGAACAAATTCTGTCTGCATGCAAATATTGTGATCTATAAATTCGGTGTTGCAAATCCCGTTCCCTCGTGTCTCGTATAGGTTCGCATGTAGTCACGGCATCGTCGCTCGATGGTGCTGACATGAACACCAAAAATTTTGGCAACTTCCTTCAAACAGAAACCTCGCTCCAGTAAAAACTCTAGCTGCTCCTCAGTAATGACTAATCGTGGTCGACCACGATTGCCACTGCGCAGCTGTTCCGCTGTAAACGATTGCTGATTAAGATAATTAGTTTCAGCGATAACTTGCAACATATCTTTGCTGTCGCGGAAAAGCTGCAGAACGTCATCCACAATGTCGTACGACCCTACATACCACACTAAACAGNCATTTCTGCAAAAGCACTGTCTGTAGTGTTACCGAAACCCATGGTTGTTTTCCTTGCCCTCCATAAATCATACACAGACTCTCGAAGTCGAATAACCTTTGCCGAGCCGGGCAGACTCGGCCTTCCTCTAGACCGCTTCTTCGGCGGCATCAACTTTTCAAATGACGTTTTTCACCGTCATACATGTAAGAATTAAAAACTATTTACTGATATGGATACTACAATAGTTTGTTGTTCGCACATGATTCAAGATGGAACTTTGAAAGCCCTAATTAGTAAGAGGGAAGAAGATATCAAAGCGATTCTGCAACTACAAGGAAAATAGCGTATTTTTCATATATGAAAACTGATCCGGGCACGCAAGGCATCTTGGTTGGAAATGGGCCTTTAATCTAACGCACAGTCAGACAGTGAGAGAAGGCTGTACCAAGCAATATCGACTCACTAATTCTTTTCATTTGATATTTTTTAGATGGGGTAACTTTCAAGGCAAGTCAGGCTCAGATGGAATGGTGAGGATGGTAAAAGGACACTCACTCTCTCTCTCTCTACCTTCAATTTTCTTTTCATCTACTATTTTAATTTAATAGGAGAAAGTAATTTTTTTCTTGTCTTCATTAGGATGGAAGTAGTTCTGGTGGTGGGAATGACAGTCATTCAAAGGTAGTTCTCGTTCAAAGCATTTTTTTTTTCTTACCTGTCATTGTTTGAGGCATCACCATATGATAATAAATGCCTGAAAATATTAGTAAGCTCATGAGTAATACTGTGGAACTGTGGTTTGCTGCAACTGTTACGAACTTCCTTTACATTTTAATCTTGGAAGCTTGAAGCAGCTAACCGCAGAATCAGAGACTTGGAAGAGCAGGTTTCTTTGGAAATGCAAGCTAAAGATGAGGTGGATCATAATTACAGGTCAGAGAACCTTGAGTAATGAACTAACATTACCACCTAGAACACCTCAGGGTCAAGGAAATTTTTAAACCTTCTTTATACATCCTTGGTGATCCAAAGTAAAAGAAGATATATGTGATGATGATCTCTTGCATGCAAGTCTTTAAAATCAAGGACAGTAAGGGAACACAAAATCCAGCATTTGCAAACCATTCTTTATTAACAAATGCAGTTGATTATCAGTTGGAGATTGTCAATAATCATTATTTTATTCGGCAAGGTCTCCAGTGAGTTTTTAGAGGCAAAGATTGTCAGATTCTTTTCCTAGATTGAATAATGAATATTTTATTATTTCAGTAATATTTAAAAACTATACCAGCTCAATTTGTTAATAACTGAACAAGTGATACCCGTAGCAGTAGGAAGGACTTTTACAGTGTTGTTTTTTTGCATTCACAGAGTGGTGAGCACCAAACTAGAGAAAGTCATGAAAGAATTAGACAAAGAGGTGAGGATCTTGACAACCCTTCTACTCCAATGAGTGACCACAGCAGAATTTCTCCTTACAATATCAATATAATATCAAGCAGACAAGTGTTGAGCATAAAGAAAAATACCAATTACAGGATTATTAATTGCTGCAATACTAAATTCTCCAAACTGGTATCATAAATTTTGTATGGCAAATGGTAAGGAGAATTACTGATAAGATCTTAAACTGAAAGGGTTTTTTTTTGTGTGTGCTAAAAAGGAAATTTTACCCTTACTTTATCTTGAATTTATCATTCAAATTGTGATTTGTCTGATCCAACTGTCGTTTATTTCAGTTGGAAACAAAAAGAACAGTGGAATCATCAAACAGGGAGCTTGAAAGAAGTGCTGCAATGTTTAAACATGACTTAAAAGAGGTAGGTTTTCTCTATGTATAACAATTGGGTAAGTCTCACAAATTGTAAGGTTTAGTGTCATTGTACAAACAATAATGATAGTCATCCAACTTTAACATCTGGCTTTGTTACAATCTTTAGGCACAGAGAAGGTCTGAGTTTGATGCAGAAGCTAAGAGAAAGGTAATTTAATTAAGAAGTTAAACTTGTCCACAGTAGATGAGTGTCGGAATGTTGCCTAAATGCAAGGTGGAGCCACTAGCCAAGCACAGAGGGTAACCATGACAACCCTGTGAGCGGCAACCACCAGGCTCTGTCACACTGACTAACTAAGGGGAAAAAAAAAAGTACTTACCTATGCTTACCAAATGGAGGGCAGGGTTGGGGGCAAAAGGCCTCACACGAAATCACATGCGAGTTGTGACAAGAGCAAAATAGCCTGACCTCAAAGAAGGAGAGCTGTAAGTCACCTTGCATCCTGAGGGAGACTGCTAACCAGCAATGTTTTGAGTTTAACCTTGCCTAATTTACATCAGCCACATTTTATCGAACTTGTTACACTTATGTTGATAAAGCTTTCTGACCATGGTTTTAGGCATCTTTTCTGAATTTTATCATCTAATACTTTTGAAGCTTGAAGGTAAAGTCCAGGAACTTCAAAACCGTCTTGATGCAGAGCTTGATGCACGGGATAGAATTTCCCAGTCATCACAGAGTGTCCAGTCTAAGATAACCCAACAAGAGAAACAAATCCATGAGCTGACAGAACAACTCAGGGTGGAAACTGATGCACACACCAAGAATAAAAAAGTATATAGTGATTTACAAAAGGTATGTGCGACGCTGTTGGTGTACATGATAGGTAATATATTCAGTATGATAATACAACATGTAGATGACCTCTTCTAACTTAACTAAATATATTGCTTTGTTTTGGCTGCATTTTTTTCTATTTAGAAGGTAACATTCCAACTCCTTTCTCATAGTAATTTTGTGGGTTTTACTCTTTCATGCAGTCTTACACAGTGATGGAAAGAACTTATGGAGATTTACAGGACAAGAATAGAATCATAAGTGAACAAAAGGTATATTTTTCAGGATTTCATACTTCCTCTTTAAAATTTGGACCTACACTTGTTCGTTCAATTTAAGTAATACTTAAAGTGTTTCATTATTCTGCAGCTGCTGCTGGTCAGAAAATTTTCATTATAAGTTTGATAGTATCTGTTTTGTTTTGTTTTTTATCTTTAAACAGCTTAGCTTAGAGAGAGAACTTATCAAGGTCCAAGGAAATCTCGAAGCAGAAATGAACATGAGAGGCCAAGCAAACAGTGCAAAAGCAGACATTGAAAGTAAGTGGCTGTTACTAATGGGTTAGGCTGTTGTGGGTGGATTGTTTGCAGATCCTTTAAGGTGACTTTGTCTTAACCCTGTAAGCCCTAATTGTGACTAGTATCTAATTTCTACTAACAATATCACTGCCTGATCAAATTTACAGATCATGAAAATGTATGAAATGATCACCAAATTAGAAATGTCTTGTTGTTTGAACAAATTCTCGCAATCAGTAAAAAAAAAAACATGTGGAGAACAATAACAGGAATATACTTAAATCTTATTAACCAAGCGCAAGAGCCGTACTGGGAGAATATCGGCCTGAGGTCTTGGCAGTACGGACCAAGCGCAGCTCGGTCCGTAGAAAAAAGACCTCAGGCCGATATTCTTCCAGTATGGTCCTGAGAAAGCTTGGTTAATGAGAGATTTATTACATGACTGAAGTTCAAAGGGACACAAGTGTGGTATGATTTGGGACCATTTGGGACAGTGCCCAGTCCAATACTGAGAGAATATCGACTGGCAATAAAGCATTTTTGATTGTTTGATTTTAGTTATTGGCCTTCTGACTTCCCGAGTCGTGTAATAAATGTTGATATAGGGCCTTAAAGGGTTAATTCAGATCCTTTGACACTATAATCAGATTAATCCACAAAATAATTCAGATTGTTCTGCAATTGTAAGAACTTTTATCCTCAGAAACTAAAATTTTAAGAACCAAGTCAATACACAGGTTTTCTCTTTCCTTGTAGGCCAGAACAGAGTATTGAAAGAGGAGCTTGACCATTTAAGGGCTCGATCAGCATCAGATGCCAGACTACAACAAAAACTTCAACAGGATCTAATTAATCTAGAGAAAGTAAGTGAGGTTTTTTTTCAGTTCTTTTTCCATGTTATACCACTTGCTTGTAAGTTCTTCATTGTTAAATTTATGCAAATCTATTGTTTTCCTAGGCAAAGGCTAACACTGAGTATGAACTAAAGTCCATCCAGAATAAATTTGACAAGATCACCCTAGAATACAAGGTAGGAGGTGTCTCCCCTTCATGAGTTTTGGTAAATAGTTGTTTGTAATGGACATCTGTGCCCAGTTGTTCGAAGACCAATTAGTGCTAACCCAGGGTTAAATTTTAATCCAGGTTTCTATATTTTTCTGTTCAAAAGCCGTTTTAAGATAATTTTCCCAATTCCTCTTAGAGCATTCAATCACCAAATTGTTAACGAATGGAATTTAAGTGAATTTAATTTTAAAGTTTTCAGATCTGCAATTAAATTTTACACTAACCCTGGGTTATCTTAAACCACCTTTGAACAACCCGGCCCTGTTGTCTAAAGCACCTTCTTTTTCCCTCCACTCCTTACATTGCTACAACCACAATTGAAGTAATTTTGTATCAGGGAGGGAGGGGGGAGTGTATGGAACTGCTGTTATTCACTAAGAACGGGGTGTCCCAATCATTTTGTTGATGGTTGTAAGTTGCGGTTCATAGAACATGACTAATGATAATTATGACTGGCTGTAAAATTGCACAGTAGACATACCCCTGATGTTCAAGCATTGTCTTATGCGAGAAAGGCAGTGGCCAGCAACTAGCCACTTTGTATTCTTTTCGGAGACTTATTCCCTCACCTACCAGTGTATCAGCCAAGTAAACTGTTTTTTTTTTTTTTGTCTTGTTTTGCAGCAACAACTCGCTAGTTATCAAACAGAAAAGAACAGATTATCACTAACATTGGAAGAGAGGACTGAACAAGAAAGGGCTGAGCAAAGTAAAACGCTTGAAAGACTCGAGCAGGAGTTGGTGATCAGAGAAAAGGCTGAGGCAGCAGCTGCTGAGGCTGAGAGAGAAAGATCAGTTTTAGCTGTGGATCTGAAAGACATGCAACAAAAACTGGAGAGATTAAAACAGGAGTACAATGCTCTACAGGACAAGGTGAGAAATGGAGGAAGAAGGCGAAGAAGCATTTTCAGGCATAATCTTGCTATTTAAAAGGTTAATTGTACCTTTCCTGTGAAGCTTAGCCATGACTAATATAACTGAGCATTTCCATTGACAGAATAAAAGTCTGAATGCCACTTTAGACACGGAGAACCAAAGGAGAACACAACTAGAAAGTGACTTGAAAGTGAATGCCCAGGAAATAGCTGCACTTAGGGCAACAGAGAAGCAACTTACTAAGGTTAGGACATGTATCTTAACTGGTTTATTTATATTTTATAAGCTTGACACAAGTCTTTATTAACCAGCAGGAAATTTAAAGTAAAGATTATGGAAAACTGTTATGAAACAGTGTTAGTTGTAAAGGGTTAAAAGAAAATTCATTAATTAAAATACTGCCATTTTGGAGATGAACTCCTTTTCTGGCCCATGAAAATTTTTGCAATTGATGTTTGATTATTGAACACCTTGGCGAACATGTTCTTTGTATTGGTTTATTTTAGCAAGTGGAAGATCTGTTGGAGGAAAGAAAACATTTAGAAGATGCTTGTACAAAACTCAAAAGGTAGATTTATCCACCAAAATAACATCTTTTACTGGCCTGTATAGCTGGCATACAAAGGGGGAGGGGAGGCGAGGGGGAGGGGAGGCAAGGGGGAGAGGGAAGGCTTGCTAGCTGAGTGCTTTTGATAATATGTTAAATCTGGCTGAAATGGAGGGTACAGTAGAATGAATCTCTCTTCCAGAAAACGTCTGTTAGGAGACACCGTCAGTGAAGGAATACTAGGGACTTTAAGCAAACCACGACGGCTACAGCAACGAGAACGTGGAAAAACAATAGATCTAATTGGCAGAACAATAGCCCAGCACGTGCGTTCTAAAACTTTGTACATTTCTTAGCCGTCCTTTGCAAAACAACAACGTGAAATCACCAAAATTT